TGTGTGAGAGAGCACAAGGCGGCGAGAAGTGTCGTAAATGCGGGATGCGCTGCGTTCCCAGAAAAACAAATACTCTTCTTAGGAAAAAATGCCAGAGATGCCGTGCTCCTTTTGCTGGAACGCAGCTAAAATAACCCAAACCACCCTGAAACGATGCACCTGCAAGAGATTCCCATCTGCTCCAAGTGGGGTCCAGCTGTGTCCCTGCTCCTCACCGCGGGCCCGTTCTCCTCCCTCCCCGCAGATCACATTCTACGAAGGCAAATGCTTCACTGGCAGGAAGCTGGAGGTCTGCGGCAGCTGGGCTGCGACAGCTTCCAGGACCAAGGGTTCCTCAACCGAGTCAACTCCATCTGTGTCCAGAGTGGAGCTTGGGTCTGCTTTGACCACCCTGACTTTCGAGGGCAGCAGTACATCCTGGAGCACGGCGAGTATCCCGATTTCTATCGCTGGAATGGACGCAGTGACCACCTGGGCTCCTGCCGGCCCGTGGGCATGGTGAGTTGGATGCCACTGGTGTTTGGCTTCCCCAGCCAGAGCATCGGTGGAATGGAGCTGCTGCTGGGCTTTATTGCTCCTGGTCACAGGAGTCCTGTGAATAAGTGCAATAGAAATCTGTGTTCTTTAGGTATAGTATGTCCCACTGAGAAGGAAATAGTGCCCTGGGGAAGGTTTGTCCCCCTTTGGAGTGGTCTGTGCAAGACACAAAGCTGAGTCACAGTTTCCTGTGGGCCCAGAGAGGAGGAAGATGTATCTCCTTCCTCCCACAGTGAAACACAGTGCCTTTAATGGAATGAGATATTCCTGTGGTTTTCCAGATGAGATGGCAAGGTCCTGCTTCGTATCACATGCTTTTCCCTTTTAATGCGAGTTGCTATGAAATACTCACCAGGGATTTCAAAAGGAGATTCCTTGCCCGAGGCAAGTTTGAGCCGTGACAGCCTGGGCTCCCCACACACCTGGAAGGAGAGTGGACAGGCTGAGGGCTCTGTGAACTGGACCTGGGGGGCAGCTGGGCTGCTCTTAACAAATTTTAGCTGAATTCTCTACTGTCACAAATGCCACCCTAGTAATCCTAAACTATTACTTTTCCCCTCCTCTTATGGAGCTTTTAAAAGCACAGTCCAGAGGAAGGTTTAATTGGAAAGATTCAAAAGTAGCAAAGAAAAATGAATCTGGGTTACATCTTTCCATTGACTGTCCTATCACTGAGGACCCCTGGGGCAATGACAAACCCACTTGGAGCTGGTGGAGTTTCTTGCTGGCCCCAAAACTACTTTTTGGCATAGCAGTGGGTCTGTTTCAGGTCTGTAACATCATTCCCTAGGCACCTCCATGGTCCATACATGGAGGGGTACTCTGCTCCAGGTCTTGGACCCTAGCTAGCACAAGGATATGCTCCTCCTTCCCTGGCCTAAGATTTTCCCTATGAGGTGCCAGCAAGTGCTTCAAGGCATTTCTGCAGCCAGAATTCAGATTCCCTGAGGAATGTTTGCTCAGGCACGGTATCCGCTTGGCTGCTGCCGCCGGCTGCCTGCTGTGGGGTTTGGCATGGCAGCCCAGCCTTCTTGTGTGCTGACGTTGTTTATTTGAAAAATGCATTTAGGTATTCTTTGAATTTGGCTTAAAAATATCCTTTCAGCTTGCTCTGTCCCACATAGCTCTGCCTCAGGCTGCAGAGATCTCCTGAGAGTAATTTATGTCGTGTCACTGTCAAGGGCTCACGCAGCAACGATGGTGCTGGGAAAGTTTCCTTTCCTTCTCCCTGTTTTTATTTTTTCTAAAAGAAAGGGACAACATCTCCTATCAGGAACAGCAGCTACGTGTGGAACTGGGCAATACAAGTTAGTTTAGGGGACTAGTCCAACATCTTTGTACACTCTCTATACGTATCTTTCTTTGCTGTTTGGGTGCACAGAGTCAGGGCTGCAGCTGACACTGTATTTGGGATGGAGTGTTTGTGGCCTGGTGGGTGGGACCTGCAGATGGACAATGGGCTATATGTGCCTGAGCAAACACAAGCAATGTGTTTGCATGTGGACAGCAGCTGTGGGAAGGTGCAGCCAGGCACAGGGACAAGAGTTGTCTTTCTGCTTTCCTGGTTGGTGTGCTGGGAGACAGCATGAGTTTGTGCATGCTCTGTGCATGCTGGCACTGGTAGTCTTGGACTGCTCTTCACATTCCCTTCCACAAAGCACCCTTCCATCTTCCTCTCTGTCGTATACAAGCTGGAGAAATTTTCTGTTGCTTTTTTTGTGTTGTTGTTGACTCGGATCCCTTTGTCCCCAGCACGGCGAGCATTACAGGATTGAAATATTCGAGGGGAGCCATTTTAGCGGTCCCAGCCTGGAGCTAACAGAAGATTGCTCCTTCCTGCAGGGACAGGGCTGGGACAAGACCTGCATCAATGCCCTCAAAGTGTACGGCGATGGCGCGTAAGTAATTGCACGTGTCTTGGCACACAGACACTGCCATGCTCCCTGCCCCACTCCCTTCCTCCCTCCCTCC